AAAAAAAAAAAAACAGGCCCACGGATTGTGGTATTTGGATCCATAAATGTGGATTTGATAAACTCCAAGCACAAGAGTAAAACTGTTTAGAAAACTATTAAGAGTTAAAGAAGTTTCAGTAACGAGTATTTGCTGTGGGATGGTAGAATCACAACAGTTTGAATTCTTGGCGAATCGTCCTGAGAGACACACACCCTTTTATAGTAGAAGTGTTTTGCTATCTTCTTAGTTAGCAAACTTTGTAACACTATTGATTCTTCCTGAGACAAGCTGTTTGCGGTGAGGTGCCAGGGATAAATAGGAACTGAGCTCTAATTGCATAGGGCATCATCAGGTCAGGCTCCTAGCTGTCAAAGTCTGATGGTTGGAAAGAACGGATTTTGCTTTAGTTGTATTTGGTCTTTTTGTGTCAATAGTGAGGTCTTTGGATTCTGAATGGCCCGAATTAGAGCGCGACGCCCGCTTGTGCCTCAGATGTCCAATCTCTTGCTCGCCTTGGCAACCGACACTTCCGGAATCCAGGAGATACCGGAAAGACACTCGCACGCTTCCGGTGCCGCTGTTGTCATTTCTTAGGGTCCTGGTGGCGCTGGGGGCCGGTGAGCCGTCACGCCTGCAGGTCGTGCCGGGAAGGGAGGTGCGGCCAGCACTCGGCCGCGTCGCCGGCGGGTGCCGGGGTGCCTGTCCGAGGCGAGTCGCCTCGTCCTCGTTCCGCGAGGTCGGCTCGGGTTGGAGCCTGTGCGTCAGTGCTGCACGCGGCAGACCCGCCAGGTGAGCGGTGCCGCCGTACGCTACTCTCTGGAATGGGCCCCACCAGAGTTGGCACTATAGACGTGCGGCGAAGTCTTCTGCTGAGCTTTCGGGACAGTAAAGTCAGTGGGGAAGTGTCCTGGCTTCACGTGTGTGCTCTCAGAGAGTTCACAGATTAGTCTTTAAAAAACAGAATCAGGCTCAGCCGGGCAGTGGTGGAGTACTCCTTTAATCCCAGCACTCGGAAGGCAGAGGCAGGGCAGTCAAGGCTACACACAGCACACAGAAACCATGTCTTGGAAAACCAAAACCAAAACAAACAAAAAAAAAAAAACTACAACAGAAAACAGGCTCAGAGGAAAATGTCTAACTCTGGGGTCTTCAGTGCCTGGTATCTGGAACCGCAGCTTACATCCTAGTTACCCCTGAGGAGCTGATTTCCAAATGGCATGCATAAACGGGAAAACATTTTCCCCAGACTTTGTCAGCTAAGTTAACCACATTGGTTTACCATATCTCTGTCCCTGTGTAACACAGGTACACATGTGCACGTCTGGCAGCCAGTCCTGCCTTCTGAGTCTCCCCAGGAAATGGAGCCCACATCTGTGTAAACTGTAGAGTTGTGGTACGAGAAATGGTCCAGCAGAGGTAGGGGTGAAAACGGTCCATGGGGTTACGGAATCGATACTACTGGTGTACCTGGAGAGACCAGCAAGGCTTGAGTTAAGTAGAAAAGATCTCCAAAGTTCTTACTCTATCTAGTTCCTCCCTTTTGAGTGGCTCTCCAAGAGTTTGAAGGCCACGACTGAGTTCTGCCTAAACCAGTGCAAGTACAGTGTTCCAGTATGAGGTACAGCAAGGAAAAGAAACCCGCTGTTTCCACCTGGGGCGACCAGGAGAACTGCCTTCAAAAGAAGTGACAGATGAATAAGAGTTTGTCAGAAATGAAGAAAAAGAAGGGGAAAAGTGCAAACAGGGAAAGTGTGTGTGTGTATTTTATAGAGCGTTAGTCCCAAACTTTACTAGTTGAAGACTTTTGAGCCTCCACTCCCAGCATAAGTCTATTAAAAAATTAACAATATATATGATTTGAATTTCAGTGCATACTACAGAACATATTAAATTGGGGCTAAATAATTTAGTCATTTTTTAACAACCTATTTTCTAGCATACCCTACATTGGAGGTCATTGCTATCCTTTTAATTTGGATACTTGGGGAGAATAGTTGGAGGTGTGTGTGTGTGTGTGTAAAAAGCTATGAATGCAAGCTGGGCAGTGGTGGCGCACACCTTTAATCCTAACAATCCAGAGGCAGAGGCATTAGGATCTCTGTGAGTTCAAGGCCAGCCTAGCCTACAGAGCGAGTCCCAGGACAGGTTCCAAAGCTACACAGAGAAATCTTGTCTCAAAAAACAACAAAAAGCTATGAGTGCTAAACATAGATATTTAGTGTGAGTCTAAAAGTTTGAGAAGGGAAGTCACCTGGAGTGATTTCTTTATTTGTACTTTTCCCCCTAAAGCTTTGATTTAGCTGCAGAATCTTGCCAGCCAAGGGCTGAGTACTCCAGGACTCTGATTGTTCTCCTTATGTTTCTCTAGGTGACACTTCTGCACTTCTTTCTTGACTCTGAAAAACAGCTCCTGCAATTTGAATCAGAGACTCGTTTTCAGTGTGCCTGCTGTAGCTGGAACTAGCTTCTTTTGGGGATCACAATGACCATGGAAGGCAGGGGAACATTAGGTCTTATCCCCAGGACAGCTGGGTATCAGAAGCAGGAGGGGAGCTTGACTGTGAAGCAGGAACCAGGAAGCCAGACCTGGGGACAGAGCTGCAGCTTCCAGAAGAACTACCCTCCTGTCTGTGAAATCTTCCGGCTACACTTCAGGCAGTTATGTTACCACGAGATGTCTGGGCCTCAAGAGGCACTGAGCCGGCTCAGGGAGCTCTGCCACTGGTGGCTGATGCCAGAGATCCACAGCAAGGAACAGATCCTGGAGCTGCTGGTGCTGGAGCAGTTCCTAAGCATCCTGCCCAGGGAGATCCAGATGTGGGTACAGCTCCGTCACCCTGAAACTGGCGAGGAGGCTGTGGCTGTAGTGGAGGATTTCCAGAGACACCTTAGTGGGTCAGGGGAGGTAAGCAGTCAAGTTTACAAGCTGTTGTAGATGTTCTAGATGTTTCTAGAACTCTTCTCTTGACTTGGACTAGCCTGAAAAGAAGCATCCTTCATTTCCCACACTTTAGGCTTGTTTGCCTTTAGGATTCCCAAATCTGCACCACTGATAGATGGGAAATAGTTCTGTGCTGCATGCCATAAGCAAAAATATAAATTCAATTGTCTTCATCACTGTTCTGTTGTGCTGAAGAGACACCAAGACCAAAGCACCCTTATAAAAGCATTCAATTGTGCGCTTGCTTACGGTTTCAGAGATTAGTCCATTATCATGTCGGGGAGCATGGTGGCAGACAGACATATCTGGTGCTGGAGAAGTAGCTGAGAGCTCTACAATCTGAGTTTGGGGAGGTAGTCGGGAGACTGGGAAACCTCAAAGCCATCCCCGGTGATATTTTTTTCTAACAAGGCCACACCTTCTCATCCTTTTAAATAGTGCCATTCCCCAATGACTAACCATTCAAATCTATGACCTGTGGGGGCCATTCTTATTCAAACCACCGTATTCCTCTCCCTGGCCCCCATAGGCTTGTAGCCATATCATATTGCAAAATGCATTCAGTCCAACTTCAAACGTCCCCATGTTGTGCCCAGATCGCGACCCCCAGAGAGACCACCAAGGACGAGCATGCCGGAATGCAAAAGCAAGGTTTAATTTCAGGATATCCAAATGCAATACAAGCCTAGGCGGGGACTTCGTCCAACAGATCCAACGCAGTGGAGGATGGAGGAAGTGCCCGCCTATCTGCAAGCCCAGTTTTTAAAGGGAAAAATCACAAGGTTGTATCATTTAGGGGTGCTAGTACAGGTACAATTCTGATTGGCTTGTGTCTAGGAATTCCAGAAATCACAATTCAATTTTCCTTCTAAGGAGGTAGTTGCCCGCCACCATTTCTCATTGGCTGCCCCAAGATGGGGGCAGTTGCCTAGGGGGCCAGGGAGAGGACATTCCATAGTCCGGCAGCCATTACCTCCTGACTACCTTGTGACTCTGTACTTTTACACTTCCTGGTTTCTGGACTCTGAACTGACTGGTTTCAGTAGCTTCTGGCCTGTTTCAGTAACTTATGGTCTGTAGCTAAAAGGAGCAGTCTTAGGCCTTTAGTTTTGGGGTGAAAGCATTTTGGTCTTTTTTGGTTCCACACCCATAGTCTATCACAGTCTCAACAATGTTTAAAAGTTGAAAGTCTCCTCTGAGACTCATGGCAATCTCTTAACTATACCCCCTCCCCACCCCCCCACCCCCCCTAAAATCAAAATCAAAAAGCAGATCACATACTTCCAACATATAATGGCACAGGATATACACTACAGTTCCAAAAGCAGGGAAAGGGAGCATAGTGAGGAAATACTGGACCAAAGCAAGACTGAAAACCAGATTCTGCATCTCCATGTCTAATGTCAAAGCGCTCTTCAGATATCCACTTCTTTCATTCTTGTTGACTGCAACACACTTCTTTCTCTGAAATGCCTCGAGGTGGGGCCCTACAATTGAAATTGCCCTCAGCACAGTCTTTTGTGCTCCTGCTAGGATGCCCATTAATCCTCACTTAAAGCATCCAACTACTTTTCTAGTCCAGAGTCCCAAAGTCTTCCATATTCCTCCAACAAATACCATGGTCAAGCCTGTCACAGCAATACCTGAGTCCCTGGCACCAACTTAGTCAGTTTTCTATTGCTGTGAAGAGACTCCATGACCAAGGCAACATATGGATCTATAGGCAGAGAGAGACAGAGACTGGGCCTGGCATCTTAAAGCCCACTTCCTGTGACACACTTCGTCTAATAAGGTGATACCTCCTAATCCTTCTAATTCTCTCAAATGATGCCACTCCCTGGTGACTAAGCATTCAAAGCTATGAGCCTATGGGTTCTATTCTTATTCCAACCACCATACTAGCCAAACTCTGAATCAGGTTAGTGTATGTGTGTTTATGTGGAGGAGAGGTGCATGTGCAGCTATGTACATACATATGTGCGTTTATTTGGAGGGGAGGTGCAGGTGTGTGTGTGTGTGTGTGTGTGTGTGTGTGTGTGTAGGCTAGAGAACAACTTCAGGTGTTGTTCCTCAGGTACTGGTCACCTTGGTTTTTGAGGCAAGATCTCTCTGACCTGGGAATCAGTGGTTAGGCCAGGTTCCTGGCCTATGAGCCTAGGGATGTGACTGTATATGCCTTTCTAGGGTTGGGATTACAAGCATGTGCTATCATGCCTGACTTTTTTACTGGTTCTGGGAATCCCAACCTAGGTTGTCATGACTATACAGAAAACACTGTGTTGACTGAACTATCTCCCCAGTGTCCTGTTTGGTTCTTGTAAGTGCAGATAAATGCTCTTTAGTACAGTAGCTGTGGGTATGGGCAGAAGATATAATTTAATACACTGTAATCTAACTTTGTGATCTACTGGCCGTTAAATCCCACTAAAGTTCTAGTATTTTACCCAGGACTTGGGCATATGGTTTCCTTCAACCACTACATTGACCATTTATAAACAATAAACCTCATTAGAGACATCTCCTACTGCTTGACATGGATGTGTATGGCCACGTTGGTTTTTGAGACAGGATTTCCCTGACCTGGAAATCAGTGGTTAGGCTAGGTCTCTTAGGGTTTTTATTGCTGCGAAGAGACACCATGACCATGGCAACTCTTTTTTTTTTTTTTTTTTTTTTTTTGGAGCTGAGGACCGAACTCAGGGCCTTGTGCTTGCTAGGCAAGCACTCTACCACTGAGCTAAATCCCCAACCCAGGCAACTCTTATAAAAGTGCCCCAGCCAGCAGGGCTTCAATGGGTTCTCGACCACCCTAAGGACTGAATGATAGGGACAGGAGATACAAAGGAATACACCAAGTCAAGATTCTGATCAAGGTACAATTTTATTTTTCTCCAGGAGGGTTTATATAGTTCCTACAGGGTAGGGGGAGCAAGAATTGTTATCTACGTAGGGTGGGGCAAGCTAACAGGATGTTTATGTAGGATGTTTACAGGGTGAAAGGGTCAAGGGCTCTGACTCAATGTCCTGTTGCTAGGCAACCTGACTGTAAGATGATCTAGTTCCCTGTCTTATTGGGGGTCTGTATTTTTCCACTAACTAGAGATTCTGTCCTTGTCCCTGACATAAAAGAAAATATATAATTGTAGTGACTCACAATTTCAGAGGTTTAGTCTGTTATCATCATGGCGGAAAGTGAGGCAGCATGCAGGAGACATGATGTTAGAGAAGGAGCTGAGGGTTCTTACATCTTGACTCACAGGCAACAGGAAGTGGTCTGAGACACTGGGTGTAGCTTGAGCATGTATGAGACCTCTAAGCCTGCCTTCACAGTGACATACTTCCTCCACTAAGGCCACACCCACTGCAATAAAGCCACACCTCCTAATAGTGCCACTCCTTTTGAGAGCCATTTTCTTTCAAACTACCACACTAGATTCCTGGTCTATGAGCCCTAGAGAATCTGAAGTAGGCATAAGTAAGTCTAAGTTGGCTATTTAGCTCTATGATTCTTAGAAGGCAGGTTTTACAATGTGTCATAATTCTTATACATGATCATATGTATACACATATATAAAAATGGGTTGTTATTGAGCAAAAAAGACAGCTGAAGTTGTCCTCCAGCTTCTGCACACTTGTGCATGTGCAACTGCACACATATGTGCACACCCACATATAGATACACAAAGGACTATCTAGTGGACAACTTGAAAACTGGTCTTTACTCAGGGCCTCAGGCTTAACAGTATTTACCATCTGGGCTGTCTTGATAGCTTCACATAGTTCTTAAGCAAATGTGTACCCAAAGATCTGACACAGCGGAACTGGCTATAGAATCTGTTCTAAGAGAGAGATGGCAGAGAAGATTGTAAGCTTTGCTGTTAGCCAGTTGACTTTATTGGTAGTGCTGGAAAGATAGCCTGGTTCTTCATTTCCTTGGCTTTTTTCCTGTATGGGTTATCTTAGAGGTTTGGGTTCTCTACCTTCAAGAATGCACTTTTGAACCCAGTTCTGTTTCCTTATCTCTAGGTTTTACATCCAGGACAAGAACAGGATATGCGTTTAAAGAAGATGATATCTCTGGATGCAATAGAACAATCGCCTACCTCAACCTCCAGTCAGGGCTCGGCCCCTGAACCCCACTGGGATCCTCCTTATGACCCTCATGGACACTTCGGTACTTGTCTTTCCACTTCTGTCCTCAAGTCATTCTTGCTTCTACCCCCTGGAGTCAGTTTCTTTCATCAGCCCAATTTGTACCCCACTGAAATCCCAGATTACCCTTATGGCTGGCTTCCTTCCTTAGTGGCTGTATCTGACCTTTTTGTCTATTCTCTTATCATACACGTATCAAGTTTTCCTCAAGCATTTCATTGGAAACACCACTGAGGACTAGAGACATGCAATACACTATGCTTATTTTTAAGAGTTCTTATCTAGGTGGTAGGGAGTCGGTCATACACATAAACAGAAGCAACCTCATAAGATACATTTAGGTAAAGCTGGGTGTGGTGGATCACACCTGTCATTCCTATTCTTGGAAAGCTAAGACAAGAGAATTTTTGAGAGTTGAAGGCCAGCCTGGACTACTTAGTAAGTTTCGAGCTAGCTTGTGCTTCAGATTAATACCCTGTGTCAAACAAAACCTCCAAAACCAACTACCACAAACAAAAGATACACATGGATGGTATCTGCCCCCGGTCACAATACTGGCATTGTAAGAGGGGATGATTGGATAAAGTGCATTATGAGGCAGAGTAGGTAGAGGACACTAGAGCAACTAGCAAGAGATTTAATAGTTAAAAAGTGGAGGATGGAGGTAGGGTACAAGGGTACACGCCTTCAATCCAAGCACTTGTGAGGCAGAAGCAGAAAGATCTCTGAATTTGAAGCCAGTCTGATTTACATATCAAGCTCCAGGCCAGCCAGGCTACATAGTGAAATCTTGTCTTAAAAAACAAAGTGAAACATGGGGCTGGAGAGATGGCTCAGTAGTTAAGAGCACTAGCTGTTGTTCTAGAGGACTTGGGTTCGATTCCCAGCATCCACATGGCAGCTCACACCTGTCTGTAACTCCAGTCCTAGGGATTCTGACAATCTCACACAGACATACTTGAGGCAAAACACTACTGAACATAAATTATTAAAACAAAACAACGACAACGACAACAACAAAAGAAGAAACTGAACTTGCTGTTTCAAGGAACACTGTCCAGCTTGCTGCTATGTGACAGGTCTGAGAGAGCAGTGAGGACTGTATGATTAAAACCATGAAAGTAAGAAGAATCACTGATAGAGGGAGAAGGAACCACAGAGCTGGACTTGCAGCAGTTCCAGATGGCAGGAGACTGGCTAAAGACCTGCTTTTCCAGGTTCAATTTCCAGTACCTACATGGTTGCTCTTCACCACCTCTAACTCCAGTTCCATGGGATCCAACACCTGGTCTCCACACCAGGCACACAGATGGTGCACAGACAAAACACCCATACATGTAGAATAAATTAGATTTTTTTTTTTAAGGCAGGGAGGTAAATCAGTCTTGGAAGTGGTAAGGAAATTAATGCAGAGAAAATGTAGTCAGAAGTAGAGCTTCAGACAGGCTGGAGAGAGACCTGAAAGGAACCTCCAGTTCTCAGTTTGACCATATATCACCTGCTGTACTCTCTGAAGAACATTCCCAGCACACTTAGGATTCCCAGCACACAGAGGTCTCTGGAAGAAGCTAAGAGTCAGTATATGTGGAGCTTCCTGGATGCTCACAGTTCCCACCTCTTTGGGCACGTAGACCTTACAGAGCTGAGAGCAGGGCTTGACCCACTGAGTTCCCCTTTCACCCCAGGTCCTGGTTTTCTTGAAGTGGGCAATGCCAGGGGCCAGGCTAATGTGGGGAACTCCACAGCAACTACTGTGCTTAGAATGGTCAGGCCTCAGGTGAGTGTGGCTCTGTTTTTCTTGATTCCATGTCGAGTGGTGGGGCAGTGGGTGGAACTTACCTCTAGACAACCTGAGGAGGCTCCTCTGGTTTTCCTGCCCAATGCTTCTCCTGGAGCTAGGTCCCTGCCCCTGGTGTAATGGGTTCCATTTAGCCCCATTTTGTTCTTTTTTTATGAGTTGACCCAGCTCTTTTCCACTATCCTTTTGTACTTTGTTACTTCTGTACTCCTGAGAACTCTGCTCTTCTGGATGAGACTGTTTCTGAACAATAGAAGCTTGTCATTCCAGGAGATTACAGCGAATAAGGACTGTATGCAGAAACCATGGAAAAGCCTGGCACTCAATCAGAATGCCCTGTAACTAGAGTTTTCCTGCCTGGCCCATAGTCAGGACAAATCTCTGTCACCTGCCAGTCCCATAGCCGCTCAGACCCAACCAAGTAAACACAGAGACTTATATTGCTTACAAACTGTATGGCCGTGGCAGGCTTCTTGCTAACTGTTCTTATAGCTTAAATTAACCCATTTTTATAAATCTATACCTTGCCATGTGGCTCGTGGCTTACCAGCATCTTCACATGCTACTTGTCATGGCGGTGGCTGGCAATGACTCCCTCCACCTTCCTGTTTTCTCAATTCTCCTATCTGTTAGTCCCACCTATACTTCCTGCCTGGCCGCTGGCCAATCAGTGTTTTATTTATTGACCAATCAGAGCAATTTGACATACAGACCACCCACAGCAATGCCCTGTACCAGAACATGACAGAGAAAAATGAGCATGGCATGGCCTCACTGGGTAATGATTCTCATCCCCTGTAACCAGCAGTCTGTCCTCTGTACATCATCTTCACTGTATTCTTTTGATTTGATTTGTTTTAACTTTTTACTATGAATATTTGCAAACATAAAGTAGATGTGGATAATGAACTTCCCTATACCCTAACCCAGTTTAACAGTGATCATCATTTTCTTTATTTAATGACTGATCAATAGTAGGGAGCTAACTTGGGTTTTCTTAGACATATGTAAGAGTCTCTTAGGTTTTGGAAGTAAAGATCTTTGTGTTGAGGGATTAAACAAAGCAATCCAATTATGAGCTGGGAAAAGGCAGTCTGGGAGACTCAGCCATGCAGCACGTGAGTTTTACACCAGTGTCCCCTGTGACTAATGCATCTGCTCTCGGGGCGTTTGCTTTCTGTGATTTCCCTTCCACTGATGCTCATTCTTAAATCCTGAAACCATAGCTTCTTCTCAGTTCTGTCTTCAGTCCTTTCTTTCTGACTGCTCACTGCGACTTTGCCTGGCTCCGTGGACCATCTAGCTTTAGATCTTACTCTGTTTTGGGGTCAGAAGTTCCCTAGAGTGTATTCCGACCAACACAGTGTTTTAGTTTCCTCTGTGTTTTGGAAGTCACTGGCCCAGGCTACAACAGATGCTGCTACAGATTAGCTAGACATGGGTTTTTCTGGCCCCTGGCCAGCTCTAATCACCTGTTACCCCTTGGGGGCATGTTCAGGGTTACTTGACCCAAAGTGTAGTTCTGTGAGATTCCTCTGCAAGGCCTGAGACCCATCCTGTGATTAGCAAACTCAGGACAGTAGCCAACTTAACAGAGGATGGACATGAGAGTTACTAAACTAAATATTTTAAAGTTTCATTTGTTAAAGATATGTTGGCCTTGGCCTCATTGCAACATGATTTAAAGGAACCAACATTTTGGTATTTGATGATAACCATGAATGACTACAGTACCTTTCCCTAGATTTTGCATTTGAATTTCCAAAACTGCAGACCAGTGTTTAACTATTTAATTTCTTTATTATTTTAGAGACAAGACCACAAAGACATGCTTTAATTTATATTTCAAATCACTGATGCTTCTTTTAATTCTTATAGATATATAGAACTAGCTTTGCCCAGACCCCAGCTCTGCTATCCCCTCCAAACACTGTTCTAAACCTGCATACTTGTTCCCATTGACTTGTATCACATGAGATCAATTTGAACTCTCATCACACTGTCACAGTGGAAATTCTCATCACCTCACTGCCACCTTTGCCTTCTCATTTCTTGCCAACCTTCTCTCCCTCCTTCAACCAACATCCCCCCCAACTCTCTCCACAGGTCTTACTGTGTAGCTCTGTCTGGCCTGGAACTCTATGTAGACCATCCTGACCTTGATCTTACAGAGATCTACCTTCCTCTACCTCCCAAGAGCTGAGATTAAAGGCACTACCACACATGGCCCAACATAGTTTTGGAGACATGTGGAACTGTACAATGTCACAGTGGAGAGGAACCTAATTTAACCATTCACTAAGAAGACAGTATCACAATGACTAGAAAATGATGCAACATTTAAATGTGCTACACAATTTAGCTCTTACTTTCTAGTCTTTCTCCTACCTAGGCTGTACTAACTCAAGCTTCCTCCATTCATGCCTTTACTCCCCATTCTCTATGGACCATTATCCCTCTGTGTTTTAATATTCTTTTTTTTTTTTTTTTTTCGAGACAGGTTTTTTTTTTTTTTTTTTTCGAGACAGGGTTTCTCTGTGTAGCTTTGCACCTTTCCTGGAACTCGCTTTGGAGACCAGGCTGGCCTCGAACTCACAGAGATCCACCTGCCTCTGCCTCCCGAGTGCTGGGATTAAAGGCGTGCGCCACCACCGCCCGGCTAATATTCTTGAAGAAGAAAGGAAACTGCTTTCTCTCTACTTTGAAATATGTTGTCTCATTCCTTAATATGAATATGACTTTTTTTTTCAGCTACAAAGAAAAAAAAAGAGTAAAAGTTGTTTTCTTCTTTCTTTTAGCAACATGTAAGAACAGGATGGAAAGTTCTACATACACTCCAAAGCATGGCATTTCTAAAGGGTCAGGTTCATTGGACCCATCCCAAGGGGGACTCTTTGGAGTAGCCTTGGCAGAGTCTGGAGGTGGCTGTGAGGACCCTTCAGCACGGATGGAAGAGCAGCCCTCAGATGAAGAAGGGAGTGAACTAGAAAGTGGTTTCTTAGAAAAGAAAGATAAGAAAAATTCCACAAAAGACAGAAATGAGGAATGTAACGATGTAGAGGAACATCCAGATCTTTCCTCTAGGTCTGTTGAGCATCAGCTAGAAGCAAAGAGACAAACGTTCTATAAATGTGATGAATGTGACAAAGTTTTCAACCAGAGCTCACTCCTCCTTGGACACCAGAGAATCCACACTGGAGAGAAACCCCATGAATGTAATGAGTGTGGGAAGACCTTCCGACAGACACCTCAGCTAATTGTTCAGCTCAGAACACACGTAGAGGAAAAACCTTTTTTTGAATGTAGTGAGTGTGGGAAGACTTATCATCACAGTTCCCATCTTATTCAACACCAGAGACTCCATGATGGGGAGAAACTTTATAAATGTAATGAATGTGCAAAAGCTTCCACTCAGAATTCCCAGCTCATTGACCACAAGAGAACCCAAACTGGGGTCAAACCTTATGAGTGCAATGAGTGTGGGGAGGCATTCATTCAGAGTAAAAGTCTCATCCAACATCAGGTCCTTCACACTGGTAAGAAGCCCTATGAGTGTAATGAGTGTGGGAAAACATTCTGTTCCAACAGAAACCTTATTGACCACCAGAGAATCCACACTGGAGAGAAGCCTTATGAATGTATTGAGTGTGGCAAGGCCTTTAGTCGAAATAAATGTCTTATTCGACACCGGAATCTCCACACTGGGGAAAAACCATACAAATGTAGTGAATGTGGGAAAGCCTTCAATCAGAACTCTCAGCTCATTGACCATGAACGAATTCATACTGGAGAAAAGCCTTTTGAATGTAGTGAGTGTGGCAAGAAATTCAGTTTAAGTAAATGCCTTATTCGGCACCAGAGACTTCACACTGGAGAAAAGCCCTATAAATGCATCGAGTGTGGAAAATCCTTTAATCAAAACTCTCACCTCATTATACATCAGAGAATTCATACTGGTGAGAAACCTTATGAGTGTAATGAGTGTGGGAAGGTCTTCAGTTACAGTTCTAGCCTTATGGTTCATCAAAGAACCCATACTGGTGAAAAGCCCTATACATGTAAAGACTGCATGAAAGCCTTTAGTGACAGTTCACAGCTTATTGTGCACCAGAGAGTTCACACTGGTGAGAAGCCTTATGAATGTATTGAATGTGGGAAAGCCTTTAGTCAGCGTTCCACTTTTAATCACCATCAGCAAACTCACAATGTGGAGAAGAAGCCCTCAAGTCTGCTTCAGACAACATCTTAAGGCATGGTTCCCTGAGATAGAGAACAAAGAATTTTGAGTTAGTATTGTTTATAAAAATATTTATCAGATTCTTGACAGGTGGTGGTGGCGCATGCCTTTAATCTCAGCACTCGGAGGCAGAGCCAGGATCTCTGTGAGTTCAAGACCAGCCTGGTCTACAGAGCGAGATCCAGGACAGGCACCAAAAATACACAGAGAAACACTGTCTGGAAAAATAAAAACAAAAACAGAAGAATATTTACCAGATTGTCTTTGCAGCATTGATCAAATGGCCATTGCTTAGCACCTTCTGTCTGGCCACTCAGGTAGGAGAGCACTAGTAACTCAGTAGTCTCTCCTCATGCACCATTGGAGAAGTATGAACATCTTTTATTTGCTTCTAACTTTTATTTTTTAAACTATCTTAAAATATATCTCATTTTTTAGTTTTGCATTCCACAATTTGTTTGTGATTTTCAGACTTTGTTTTAACTTCTCCATTTCACCATTTACTCAAAGACATACTACAAGAACCTCATCACTCTTACTTTGTGGCTATAGCTCTCTTCATTTACTTTGCCCCCTCACATTTTTTTTTATTGTGTATGTGTGTTTTGCCTACATGTATGTCTGTGTACCACTTAAGTGTCTGGTGCATACAGAGGCCAGAGTAGGTCATCAGACCCACTGGAACTGGAGTTACAGATAGTTGTCAGCCACCATGTGGATGATGGGAATCAAACCCGAGGTCTTTGACAGAGCAGCCAGTGCTCTTAACCACTGAACCATCTCTCTAGCCTTCACATTTGTTTTTTAAAGTTAGTCCAGTATATAACTTCTTATCATTTAAGTTCCCTCCCTAGAAATTTTTTCCTTTTACTTGTTCATTTATGTGTATTTGTGTATGACTGTACATGTGAGTGCAGTGCTTTTAGAGGCCAGCGGAGGGCACTGATTCCCTTAGAACTGGTGATCCTGAGGTAACTGACATGGGTGCTAGGAATTGAATTTGGGTCTTCAGCAAGAATAGGATATATTCTTAACCAATGAGCCATCGCTCCAGCCCCAGGACTTTTTTTTTTCTGAATGCTTTCCCTCTTAAACCTCTGTTGATCTGATCTCAAACATGCTTTGAGTTAGTTGCTATATGGTACAACTGTTATATTCCCTTGTAAGTATTTATATATTTTCATAACAATATGTAGGCTCTTTGTGGGTATATATTTTTCACATATATAGATAGTTAATTATATTAATTGCTAAGTAAATTTTTAATTAATTAATTTATTTTTCTATTATCAGCTTGATACAATATAAATTCTTATCCTAATAGTGAAATGTTTCATTGAGGCTTGCCCAGTAATTGAGTAAAACCAAAACTTATAAGCCACAGTCATCCTAGGGTCCCCCCTGCTATATAGCCTCCCTGGTTCTGTGGGTTGCAGTCTGATTGTTCTTTGCTTTATATCTAGAATCCACTTATGAGTGGGTACATACCATGTTTGTCCTTCTGGGTTTGGGTGACCTCACTCAGGATGGTATTTTCTAGTTCCATCCATTTGCCTGCAAAGTCCATGCTGTCATTGTTTTTCTCTGCTGAGTAGTACTCCATTGTGTATATGTACCACATTTTCTTAATCCATTCTTCAGTTGAGGGGCATCCAGGTTGTTTCCAGGTTCTGGCTATTACAAATAATGCTGCTATGAACATAGTTGAGCATGTATCTTTGTGGTGTGATTGAGCATTCTTTAGGTATATGCCCAAGAGTGGTATGGCTGGGTCTTGAGGTAGATCAATTCCCAATTTTCTGAGAAACCACCATACTGATTTCCACAGTGGTTGTACAAGTTTGCATTCCCACCAACACTGGAGGAGTGTTCCCTTTGCTCTGCATCCTCTACAACATTGACTGTCATTAGTGTTTTTGATCTTAGCTATTCTGACAGGTACAAGATGATATCTCAGAGTCGTTTTGATTTGCATTTCCCTGATGACTAAGGATGTTGAGCATTTCTTTAAATGTCTTTCAGCCATTTGAGATTCTTCTTTTGAGAATTCTCTGCTTAGCTCTTTAGCCCTTTTTTTTTTTTTTTTTTTTATTGGATTTTTTTTTTTTTTGAGTTCTTTTTTGGTTTTTCGAGACAGGGTCTCTCTGTGTAGCTTTGCACCTTTCCTGGAACTCACTTGGTAGCCCACGCTGGCCTTGAAGTCACAGAGATCTGCCTGGCACCGCCTCCCGAGTGCTGGGATTAAAGGCGTGCGCCACCACTGCCCGGCCCATTTTTTAATTGGATTGTTCAGTATGTAAATAATTTTTAAAATCTCCCTCAAATAATCCTTAAATGATTGACAAACCCCCCTCTCCCCTCAACTTTTAAGCTTGGGAGTGCATCTCCAGTATCACATACAGTATACTCATTACTATATCATAACTACTAGTTTATTGTGCTTAAAAAATAATTGTGTGTGTGACAGAGAGTGAGAAACACAGCACATTTTTGTTATCTATTCAGTTGTGCAGTCATGTCCACTTACACGTGCATTGTGCAGTACAAGGATTTGCTAACTCCATTCTGCCTCTTCAGTGAGCAGGTTGAGATAGATCACAGTCAGAAAACTACAAAGGTTTGTTGATGTCCATGGCTGCACCGGGGTCACTGACATACATCACCATGAATTTCTGTGTGTATGCTGGAGATCTGAACTCAGATCCTCATGCATGTGTGGCAAGTACCTTGCCTATTGAGCCGTCTCTCCAGGCCCATTGTACACACATTTTGGGGAAATATTCTGAGGAAAAAGTGGGGAAGTTTTCTATTCTAACATACGGTTATGGGCCCCTCAAGGAATCCATAATGTAGAAAAAGGGTCTTCATCTGGGTGTGGTCGTACATGCCTGTAGGTCTAGCACTTGGGAATCTCTCAGAAATAGATATTTGTAAGTTCAAGTCAGTTTCGACTACACAGCAAGTTCCGGGCAGGCTCTGTTGAATCACTGTCTTCAAAGGGGAGGAGAGAACATGAAAAAAAAAACAACCTGATAGAACTTTTTTTTTTTTATCTCCATTTCATGTACATGTGCTTATGGAGGTTACAGGACAATTTGTGGGAGTTGGTTCTTTCCACTAAGTAAATACCATAGGTCAAAGTCAGAAGTCAGGTTGTCTGGCTTGGTAACAAATGCTTTTACCTGCCAAGCCATTTCACTGATCTTCAGTTTAATTTTTATAAACTGTCCCATCCCCATCGCCCCTGCTCCCCTGCTCCCCTGCTCCCCTGCTCTCTGTCTTGTGTGTGTGTGTGTGTGTGTGTGTGTGTGTGTGTGTGTGTTAAAGTGTGTGTCACAGCATGTGTGTAGAGATCAAAGAACAGCTTTTTTGTGGAGTCAGTTCTCTCCTTCCACCTTTATGTGAGTTCCAGGGATTGAACTCAGGTCACCATGCCTGCTCAGAAAGCACGTTTACCCACTGGGCCATCTTGTTGGCCCCTGTATTAGTTACTTTTCTGTTGCTGTGGTGGTGCACGCCTTTAATCCTAGTACTTGTGAAGCCAAGGCAGGTGGATCTCTCTGAGTTAGAGGCCAGCCTCTTCTACAGAGAGCTAGTTCTATGACAGCCAGAGCTACACAGGGAAACCATGTCTTGAAAAACAAACAAAAAAAGGGGGGGTGGGGAGTTAGGCATTGTGGCTCTAGCAAAAAGCTGGATGATTACATTTTATACACAAAGCAGAAAGAACATGAAATGGGATGAGGCTATAAATCTCAGTCTCCAGCAAAGCTCTGCCTCCTAAAGGATCCACAGTCTTCCCAAATAGCACCACCAGCTGGAGACAAAGTGTTCTCAGCTACCACATCCACCACCCAATTTACCTATTCCCTCCCCACTTGGTTGTTCAAGACAGAGTTTATTAGCTTTGGCTGTCCTGGAACTCACTTTGTAGACAAGGCTGGCCTCAAATTCAGAGATTCTCCTGCCTCTGCCTTCCCCCAGTTTACTTGAAATCAGAATTCAAACATGGGAAATAGTTCCGGTGGTCAAACAGGATGGTAAAGGGCAGGAGGTATACACTGAACCATTGCCTGTGGTACATGGAAACAACACACACAGCTACATTCTGGTAAAGGGTAGGAGGTATACACTGAACC